TAGCTACTGGTTCAATAACATAGTCAGTATCCCCTCAAGGACATTCTGAAAATATGATATTGAATAAAAATAACAGCATGTGGGGGACAATCATTTTCATTTGCTGAAATCTCTAAGTTCCAATATTAAACTCTCATCACAACTTTCTCAAAAAATTTTTATGAAAACAGGTGAAGCTTTGAACCATTTCAATTTCTTACTAATCTGAAAAAATAGATTTAAGAGGTGAAACTGGAATTGGCAGGCCTATTAAAGCTGACAGCAAGTGTGCAGCATTGTCCTCTAATCTGAAGGCTGAGATCAATTCTTGGTTCAGTATAGCTACAGAAAACTTCTCAACTATGAGGTCTGACTATGATATTCTTGAACCTGGAGTTGGTTTCTAAATTTACAGCAATTAGAACATTACTAGTAATGTCTACTCAAATTGAAGGCTGAGCATATTACACGCTAAGAATATATCCACTGATGAGAAATTATGACAAAGAAAGGAGGTGGTATGTGTAAAACACCATGCAAATGTCAAATATAGGAAACACTGTAGTTTTGTAAAAGGCCTATAATTCTGTTGTGTGTATGTAAAATTATTCTTTTTTTTAAGTCAGACAAGGTACAAGGATTGGTACCAATACTATTTTATTTTACTACTAAACTAGAGGTAATAGAAAGTCAAATAAGACAAGAAAAAGTAGGATGTATAAACGTGTATTGGAATTACTCTATTACAGATTATATAAAAAGTAACTTATTAAGAACAAAGATTCATTAATGTTTGCTCAGTTCTATGATAGATATGCACAAGGAAAATTCAAAGACATATTGCTGAATATTATCCTATCACTAAAAAATGAAAGGAAGTAAATTTCACCAAGGAGCCTTCAGCTTATATAAACAGCTTTTACAGATATTGGATCAGAGTTACAAAATTAAAGGACTGTGATTTCCATTGAATTCAATAAGCAAATCAAGGCGAGCAAGCAAGCTCAGTAGATAAGTGCACCTGCTGCCAAACATCCTGACAACAGGCTGAGTTTAATCCCTGGGACTCATCACAGGATGGAAGAAGAGATTTGACTCTTGCGAGTGGTCCCCTGACCTTCACATGTACATACATGCCCTCCAGAATACCCACACACAATGTAAATACATTAATTTTTAAAAATCAAGAGAAATAAACTTGAAAACAACTGTTTAGTCCAATACTAGTTATGAAAATATCATATAATAAATATATACTATAATTATGCAAAACTATATGATACTACCAACTAAGGTTTCTAGATAAGCCCAGACTACTAAAGAACAGCAAAGTGGAAGAGAAAAGATAGGTCAGTCACAAGCTAAATGGTCCATGCTGTAGAACTCTAGCAAATTTTAGGTTCCACATCTCATAGATGTATCTCTACTAACCTATACCATACAACATGCTATAAAGTTATTTATGGTATATATAATAAGATTAAATCTGAATAATTTTTGTTTGATCCCTTGAATTTGATTTTATTTTCCATATGTTCAAAAATTTAGTACAATTTATACTACTCCTCAATCAATATCTTAGACCCATATTTTGTAATTTTCTTCATTCAGAAAGAGCTTCACCACTTTCTATTTATGTGGTAAAATACACGGAGAGTCTAAGATGGCTGTTCTATAAAGAATAAGAGCTGGACTATTTATCAAAACAACAAAGCAAAAGTTACCAAAAATTTACAAGTGTTCATCAGTGAACCTGTATCTTTTTGTTCAGTTTTTTTCCACAGAATTCTCTTTCAAAGATTATATAATTAAACAAATAATATTTTCACTACAATGGATCCAAATAGTAAGCCAGAACTGAGAGAATATAGTCATATGTTTTAGTCACATGAAAAAAGTAGTATAAGCAGAGAAAAAGTGAGGGAAAAACCAATGACTGGCTGAAAATACACTAAGTGCCAGGGGGAAATGCTTCTCCATATGTCACAAGCTAGATTTTTCTAAATCAAATTAGAAACCTTATAAAATTTCCTACACTTTTTATGTGAACCAGAAGCGAATTTGCTTATAGAATTTTTAAGCTTATAGGAAAAACTGTCATAATTATTTTTACTTTTTTACAAGTATATAATGAATATGCAACATTTTTTGATAATTTTTTTCCAGTATATTTATTAGAAACATGCTTGTCGAAAATCAGGTGTTCATAGGTGTGTGGGTTAATATCAGGGTGTTCAATTTGATTCCATTGGTCTACCTGTCTAATTTTGTACCAATACCAAGCTGTTTTCAGGACTATAGCCCTATACTAGAGTTTGAAGTCAGGGATGGTGATGACTCCAGATAATGCTTTCTTGAACAGGGTTTTGACTATCCTGGGACTTTTGTTTTACCACATGAAGTTGAGAATTGTTCTTTCAAGGTCTGTGAAGAATTGTGCTGGGATTTTGATGGGGATTGCATTGAGTCTGTAGACTGTTTTTGGCAGGATTGCCATTTTTACTACATTGATCCTACCTATCCAAGAGCATGGGAGATCTTTCAATTTTCTGGTGTCTTCTTTAATTTCTTTCTTTAAAGACTCAAAGTTCTTAGATACTACATGATTTTTAAATTTTAAAAATTTAAGGGGAGGGGAGAGAAGAATATGAAGAATCAGGAATGTAAATTGGGGGAAGAACAGAGAAGGATAGCAAGGAAAGAAATACCTTAATGATTGATGACTACCTTAATGCCATCGTAGAACCTTCATTCATTAGTTAATGGAAGTAGAAGCAGAGATTCACAGCTAAGCCCTGAGCTGAACTCCTGGAATCCAGTAGTAAAGAGGGAGGAGGTATGAGCAAAGGGGTCAAGACCATGCTGGGGAACCCTGAGAAACAGCTGACCTGTACAAGTAAGAGTTCATGGACCCCAATCTGATAGTTGGGGAACCAGCATAAAACCAAACCAGGCCCCCTGAACATGGGTGTCGGGGGGGGGGGGGGGGTGGCTGGGCAGTCTATGGGACCTCTGGCAGTGGAACCAGTATTTATCCCTAGTGCACAAATGGGCTTTGGGAGCCCATTCCCTATGGAGGGATACTCTCTCAGCCTAAATACACGGGAGGGCCTAGGTCCTGTCCCAAATGATGTGACAGACTTTGATGATCCCCTGTGGGAGGCCTCACCGTCCCTGAAGAAAGGATGGAGGGTTGATGGGGGGGGAACAGAAGGATAGGAGGGAAAGGGAACTGGGATTGTTAAGAAAAATATGGTTGTTTTTAATTTAAATAAAAATAATTTTAAAAATTTAAACTTTTTAAGCTAGATTTTACAGAGATCATTTTACAGCCACATTTTAAATTACATATTTCTGGTTCAAAAAGAAGACCTCGTGTAAAGACAGATTAATTTATTTACTAATTACTTTTATTGCTTTAATTTGGCACTCAAGGTCAATGTCAGAGCCCTGTTTATGCTAGACAGGCACCCTAATACTAAACCATATCCATAACTCATGTTCTGATCTATATATAATATTCTGAAATAGCTAGATCAGGAGAGGTAGAGAGCTATAGAGGAGAGAAGGGAAGGTAGAAGAGGAGAAAAATGAGAAAGAGAAGCAGAGGAGGGAGAAAGGGAGAGGAAAAGGGATAGAAGAAAGGGAACAGGAAAAGGAAGGAAAGAGGAAGAAGAAAAGAGGAGGAAGGAAGGAAGGAAGGAAGGGAGGAAGGAAAAGAACATGAAAGGGGAAAACCATAGCACGCAAGAAGCATTTTACTGAGAGAAACGACATTGCCATTTCAATGTCCAAAGTGTAACAACTATTCTTGGTTAACAACTCTTGGCAAGCATTTCTATGAGTACTAACAAAATAAAACAATAGCAACTACCAAATGAAATGGATTTTTGAATACTTCAGAATAGCTACCAGCTCTTTACTACCCCTTAGAAAAGCTAAATTGATCATTTAGGCACTGTCATCAAACTTGGCATTTGCTTTTTCTCTGCACTATCAGGTGCCAGTGTGTGTCACCCATTTTTCACTGACAGTCTCTATGGCAATGGCAGGTGGGAACAGTACTTAGGCCCACTATGCTTCACTATGTCTTCCTGAATTTACCTAAGAAATCCGTAAGTATTGACTCTTCTCCCCTGATAGAATATTTGACTATATATAATGAAGCAGCTTTTTTCCAGGTCTACTAATGACAATGAAGAAGAAAGATTTCAAAATGAAATGTAAAAACCACATAAAAGATGTAGGAATTTGCTAGTACTCAACAAGCGGCCCACACCAGTTCTCACACTTGCCTATAGTCAAAAAGTGAAGTCAGTTCTCACATTATCTCCTTTGAGAGGATATTCTGTTCTTTTCCTGCTAGTGGGTGAGCCAAACTGGGATTGTGCTGTGCCTCCTTCAGAAGAGGAAGCAAGAAGGTCACCTTCCAAGATCACTGTAAAGGATCTGGTGGTGTATGGGTAAGCAGTACAAATAAAAAATGGAGACAGTTAGAAAATGCAACTATGGTGATACATTGTTTATGATCTAATAAAGTCACTGAAGATCAGAATGCAAAGTCAACCACACCAATTAGAGAAGATGGACAGTGTTGGCACATAACTTTAATCCCAGGACTCAGGAGACAGAGGCAAATGGATCTCTGTGAGTTCAAGGCCCCCCAGGACTACATGAGAGTGAATAAATCTAAAAGAGTAACAGAGCTCACGCCTTTAATCCCAGCACTAGAGAGGTATATAAGGAAGAAGCAAAGGGCTCATGTAGCAATTAGTGTCCAGCCACATTAAGGACAGGAAGAGATCTAGTTTCTAGTCACAGGGAAGACAGGATCTCCATTTCAGAATTGGTAGATTTAAGAGCTACTGGATGACTGCTTTTATTCTCTGATCTTCAGTTTGAACCCCAATATCTGTCTCTGAGTTTATATTAATTCATACAACATATAACAATCTTTATTAGAGGTCTCTAAAAAAACAGGCCTCAACAACAAATTAGATAAAGTGAGGACAGAGCCCAACCTTGCAGATCTTGTAAAGAGATTCCTGTCCATCTCCTCCAGTGTCTTTGAAGTAATCATGTGCAGGAAATGTACGATGAATATCTCGAGTAATTACACTCTCCTGTGCAGAGTCCTAAAAAAAGAAAACAAAAGCAGAATTGATTATTCATGTAAAAAATTTTCACTTATGTAAAATAATACATAAAGGACATAAAAAAGTATACCTAAAAAAACTAGCCTTTCAAAAAATAAAATAAAAAAGCCATCAGGGAGAGACAGGAAATAAAGGCTCTTGTAATCAAATCTGATGACCTGAATTTGATCCCTAGGATCAATTATGGATGGAGGTAGGAGAGAACCAACTATTGCAAGTCTTCTAAACTCCATACACACACCATGGTATGCACATACCCACCCACATACATACACACATGCCCACACAAAATAAAATATAAACAAAAAGAAACTTCTCTCCTTCTAAGACACTTTACTACTTTACCTAAGACAAGTTCCACCATCAGTTATGTCCTTTCACATGTCTTCCTACAAGGTGTGTGTGAGTGCTTATTTGAGAAGACTGAGAAAAAACTTGTATACTCACATTTCCAGACACAAGCTGTATGTTTCTTTCACTCACTGAGATAAATTACAGACTGTTCCTTATCAAGACAGGGAAATAGAACTGCTTTCGGTTATAATATAATTTCTTTAACACTATTCTATTAACATTTTTCTATTTTTCGATTTCCTTCAGAACACTTTTGTATGTGTGTGTGTGTGTATATATATACGTATATATATTTGTTTTAAATATTATAATTTATTGTTTTATTGTAGCTTATGTGTGTGTTTCTGTAAAATTGTGTCACATGTGGGAAGGTGTCCACAGAGGGCAGAAGAAAACAGCAGAACCCCTGAAATTGGAGTTACAGTTGGCTGTGAGCCAGAAGATACGAGTTTCAGTAACTGAACTCAGGTCCTCCAGAAATGTAACTCTTTTAACCATAAGCCAACTGTTCAGCCCCCCTACATGTATGTCTGTACATGAGCATGCATGTGTGTAAATACACGTGCATGCGTGTGCGTTTTCAAGGATAAATTCCTAAAAGTTCAACAGCTATGTCATGTATACATTTTTAGGATTGTTATTAAGGCTAGCACTCCAGAGTACTGGGATTATATGCACAGATCACCATGCCTAGTTGTACTTTCAGGATTAATTCAGATATTCTCTCTCTAAAGCTGCCATAATTACATGTACTTCAAATAATAATAGAGCACATATTTTCTCCATTGCTAAATAATGTGTTTTCTATTTTTTAAATCATGGGTAATACAATAAATGAAACTTTGATCACTACCTCCTCCTTCTCCCACCCCCCACAGACATATACTAGGTTAATTATATAACTCATTCATTTTACAAATAAGAATCCTACAACCTACAATATAGAAGCTTACATTTTAAAACCTGAATTTAAGAAGCATTTTTATAGAAATTTGGAAAATGAAAGCTCAAAATTATGTAAAATTCTGAACTTTGTCTTAAAAAGACTGAGTATTACCCTGATTTTATTAATCCTGGAAAGGTTTGCTTTATCTATTTAAATGTCAAGAAAATAGGATGAATATTTTGAATAACTTTAATGATGAAAACACTTTGTACAATTCATAGATGCATTAAAGACTGCTAATTGCAAATTAAATGCATTGTTTAATGTCTTGATTCCTCAAAGACTGAACAAATTGCCTATCCGCCTTATAGCAGAAAGGGAAGGATGTTTAAAATGTGAGTTGCTTTAATGCATTGGTTCCTTCTCCTTATAGCTGAGAAATACACAAGGAGCAGGCAGCTGATCAGCCCAGTTAAGTCAGGACCTTCTCTTGCTCCCTTTTCCACGTCAGCTGCTACTTCATGCTGGGTGGTAATTAGATTGTATATCATGTAGAGTAAGAAAGAAAGCAAAATGACAAGTTCCAAATTCGTTAGCACACATTTGATAAGCCGTCCAGAGGACATTCTGGTGACTTACAGGAATGGAATACTAAAGCTGAATAAACATGAAACTTTAATGTTTTAAATAGCTTAAGTAAAAGGAATAGATACATAAAGAAATGATACTTGACAAGCAAATGAATTTTCTAACAGTGAAGACTTGGGAAATGTCGGGAAAAAAGCAGAATGCTAATATATAAAAAATTACAGAGGTAAGGATCGGTATCTCAGTGGTGGAACACTTATTTAGCATGTGGAATTCTGAATATGAAAACTTGATAACCACACAGACTAAAAATTTCATTTCCCAGGTTTCTACTGATGAAGTGTTTCTCTTTCTATTTCACTTATAACCTACTTAAAAAGATGAGTAAAATGACACTTCCATGTGTGAACAACTTCAGAAACAAACACCTGCCCAGTAGTCTACAGGATAACTTTTTGGAGTTTCAGGATATTTATGGCAAAAAATCAGTATAACCTGCTTACACATGCAGCATCATTGTATGTTTACATGGTACCAAATAGTCTGATTCAGAGGAAGAGAAATTGATCAAAAATTTCTAAAAACTGTATCTGCATATCACTAAGTATAATTTTATCAGTGCATTCTTGATTTGTCTTATTTACAAAAACAAAGAAAAATAAAGCTTTCCTTTCCTGAAATTTTTTTTAAGTTCACCCATTATAGGGTCTCAACCGGACAATTACTCTACTATGATCAGAATTTTAATTTCATCTAATTTTAAATGATACATAAATATAGACACAAAGTATAATGTGCAATAATTTGGATGGAGTTTTAGTACATCACCTAAAGGTTCACAGAATGGAAATTTGGTTCTAACTGGGGGATAATATGAGATGGTCAAACCTTTAAAAGGTGGGTCCTAGTGTATGGTGGGTCCTTAAAAAGAATTACTGTAATTCTTGTGGATCTCAAGCTAAATCTTGTGATAAATTTGTTTGTAAAAGGAAGTAATAGCTCCTCCCCACTCTTCTTTCCAGTCCTAAGTCATCTCTCCCTCTTCACACATGCTTTAACCACCATGAGGTCACCCATCTGGTATGCTCAAAATTACCCAACCTTGGATATTTTTTATAAGAATAGACAGGAATGTGCAATGTTCAAAATAAAGGTATTTAGTGAATCCATTACCATTGTGTGCACCATCCCCACACACGCACACGAGCGCGCACGTGTGCAAATAGGATCAAGATACATGATGTGAAAAACACATGGAATAAATACATTCTCTACTAGTTATTTTCTAACACTAAGTTATTCCTGCTAGTTATAGTTATTCTACCCATCCTATAACATTATGCTTCTACTTCTCTTTTTTTGAGGAATCACCCAGCTGAAGAAGTGTGAAATAATTCATCATATAAATGTGTGTAAAAGGTTTCAGGTTTTGAAAAAGTTATTTATATATCTCTAAAAACCTTTCCTAGCACAACAGAAAATGATGAGGTTATTTTCTTGAAAGACCTCATAGCAGTACTTGTCGAAATCATGGGAATCACCTCCACTGTGAGAATACAGAAATCACCCTTCCATAGACTTCCACTTGATCATTGTCTAGACATCCAGCTTAACCCATAATTTCCTTCTCAGGAGAAACAGTGCCCAATCTGCTCTTCAGAATTGACTGTGGTGGTTCAGCAGTCAGACTCTGATATTCCTTCTGCTTTCCTCACAATACCAACAGAATTGAAAATTAAGTATTTGTTCTTATGGAGTATCTGTGAACATCAAATACATATAGTATTGTTTAAAATGAAATATTGCAAGTAAAAGTGTTTAACACTCTACCCATTATATATTGAGCATGCAATATTTAACTGTTTAAATTTTTTGATGAGTATATACTTCAGACATTTTAGAGACCTTCCATAATTTAATAAATAAATGACTATCTTTGAGTAGAATAAAAAATCATTATTGGAAAGCCAATTCTCTAGAACTTATTAATCTATAATACTCTACTCTTAACTACTTACCACACATACATGTCCTACATTATCACTGTTTCTATTAATCTAATAACAAAAAACAAAGTGAGAAATTATTGACTTCAGGTTTCATATAACTGACCCAACAAAGAAAGTTTTCAGCAAATATACTATAAAGGAGGATGAGAAAGATGGTAAAGTTGTGGCAAAATCTACCAAGGCAGTCACCATTTCTACCATTACTTCAGAAATCAGATTCTAAAGAACAGAAGAGTTGATGTCATGGTTATGAAGAGGATAAATGGCACTGCAGTAATTGCATGTTTCCCTGTGTACCATCACCAAGAACTTCACTTACAGTTAAAGTCCTAAAGGGCTTCCTTTCTCTTGCCTTGTTAGGTTAGTCCATATTCCAAGCTGTCTTGGGACCACAAAGCAAGAAAAAGTTTGTAATAAAGTCTGAAAGGTTCATTTCTATCCTGCATGCAAAACTCTATCACCATACCGAAATAGAAGCCTACCTTTCAAATTTTGTTTTTTTTTTTTCAAATTGTTAAGTCCTAAGACTAAACCTATCCTCAAGAAAGGTAACAATCCCTAGTAGATAAAAATCCATGGTCCAACAGAGGTACCATGCAATTTGTTAAATATCAGTTTAAAACCAAACCAAAGGGACATGATAAAGAGTTTATTTTATCTTCAGTCACATTCAAATTGAAGTTTCCTATCAAGAATGTTGTATGAGGCCGGGCGGTGGTGGCACATGCCTTTAATCCCAGCACTTGGGAGGCAGAGGCAGGCAGATCTCTGTGAGTTCGAGGCTGGGCTGGACCGACAGCCTCCAAAACAATACAGAGAAACCCTGTCTGGAAAAACCAAAAAAAAAAAAAAAAAAAAAAGAATGTTGTATGAGACCCAGTGCCACCTATATACCTTGTAATTCTCATAATTCCTACCATCACTCACTTGTTTTCTTTTAGTAAAACAGTGAATACAGCACTCAAGTGTCAGGAAGTATTAGGAAGACAGGATTGGAAGAACCACATCCTATTATTCTTTTATGAAACCACTTTTGAGCTGCCAAGAACTAAAATGGCATTATAGTGAGGGTGACAATTTCCACACATGGTCTTAACAGGTGTATGGAACACCTGATGACATCTTGGTTTTTCATATTCCTA